GTCGAGAGGCGCACGCAAGCGAAGTCGCTACGTACGCACACACACGACCGCACACACACACGCACACGACCGCACACGCGTGAGACACTCATTTGTGGTTGTGTGCGATTTGTGCGCCGAGCAGGAGGAAGAGGAGGAAGAAGACGAGGAAGACGAAGATTCGTTCCTGGATGATGACGACGAGGACCACCACCAGGCCTCGCGGCGGGAGCTGCAGGAGCTGTGCCGCGCGTTTGCCAAGGGGCGCAACTACTGGGAGGACGAAGACGACTTTGACGACGCCGCCATGGAGGTCTCCTGGCGCGACGCCCTCGCCGAAGAGAATCGCAGGTTCGTGTTGTGTGTCGTGTCGTGTCGTGTCGTGCGGTTGACAGAGCGTGTGTGGTGTGTGAAACGTGTAGTGCTCGCCTGGGCGCGTTGGAGGACAGGAAGGACATGGAGGAGGAGCTGCGGCGGAAGAAGGAGAAGCAGGAGAAAAAGAAGAAGCTCGCCCAGGAACGCAAGAAGGCCCGGAGGTAGGTAGGCCTTCCGCCACGAAGACGAAGACGAAGAACTACGTCGTGGTAGCCAGCTATGAACATAAATATAAAAATATGTTTGTTACAGTTGATGTTGGTTTCTTCTTCTTTTTCTTCATCACTTTCTCGTCTTTCCGCTTCCGCTCTCGTTGGACCCGCGCGGCTGGTCGTTGTCCAGGGCCGCGGTGTGCAGCAGCTTCAGCTGGTGGAGCTCGTAGATCAGCTGCACGAGGGGCATCGCCAGGTACTCGTCCAGGCCCTCCGCGCCCACCACCCGCGCCAGCTCCGCCATCGTCTTCGGCGGCCCAGCCACCGCCGGCCCCGCCTGGCCACCAGCCTCGGCGCCAGCGGCCGCAGCCCCGGCCGCCGCCGCAGTCCCGGCCGCCGCCAAGGCGCCTTCGCCGCGCAGGTGCTCCTCAATCGTGCGCGGCTCGGTGGCGGCGATGTCGTCGGACGACGGCGGCGGCGGCGCCTGCGGGGCGCCGGAGAGCAGCTGCTGGGCGCCCTGTCGCAGGCCCGTGAAGAAGGCCATCGAGCTCTGCCCGCCGTGCATCTGGACCAGCGTGTTCCGTCGGTCGGCCTTGTTGCCGCCTGCCGTCGCTGCAGTCGCGGTGGTGGTCGCGGTGCTTGTGGTGGCCGTCATGATGGGCTGGGCGTCGAGCGAGTGGTTGCGCTTCTTGTGGCTCTTCTTTTTGTTGTTGTTGCTGTTCTTGTTCTTCTCCGACTTACCGCTCTTCCGCCTGGCCTTCTTGCTGGCCGCCCGCTTCGTCATCCGCCGCCGCCGACGTCTTCGCTTTCGTTTCTTTCTTCGCTTTCGTCTTTTCGTCGTCGCTCGACGCGCTCGACGTCATCATCGTCTTCCTCGGACGTCGTCGACAGGCCGCCGCCCTGGGCCTGGCCCAGGCTCGGCTCCGCCGACACTGAGTCGCTGCGTACGTGGAGGCCGAGCGTGGGCGCCGAGTTCGACGAGCGGAGCTTGACCACCTCCTCGGGCGAGTCCAGCGTGGTGAGGCCGCTGCGGCCGCCGGCCCGCGACGCCGCCGCGCCGCTGCCGGGCGGCGTCTCTGTGGCGGTCGAGAGGGTCGAGAGGGTGGTGAGCCCACCGCCGCCGCCGCAGGCAAAGTTGAGGCAGAGGTCGCCGACGCCGCCGTTCTTTTCGGCCCTGCGGCGGCGCACCTCGCGCCGGGCCTCCTCGTACTGGGCCAGCAGCTGCTTCATGACCGCCTTCGTGTCCTCGGGCTTGACCTGGCGCAGAAACTCGTGCTGTGTCGTGTGTCGTGTCGTGTTGCGTGAGTCACACCGCACACACAGCACACGCATGACATGACACGACACGACACGACACGACACGCGCGGGTACTTCGAGGAGGGCGAGGGCGGAGAGGCGCTCGGTGGGCTCCTTCTTGAGGCAGGCGTCGATGAAGGAGACGAACTGGGGCGACCACTTCTGGGGCTCGGCCAGCGTGGGTGGGTCCTCGTGCATGATCCGGAACAGCGCCTGTCGCACGCAACGCACAACACGCGCGCGCACGTTGTGTGTCACCATCTCCATCGCACGACACGACACACGCGCACCGCACACACAGCACGACACGATACAACAGGACACGCGTGCGCGTGAGTGGTACCCGCATTTGGTGGTCCTTGAAGTAGGGCGGGACGCCGTCGGCCATTTCGATGGCGGTGATGCCGAGCGACCAGATGTCGGACTTGGCGTTGTAGGGATCGCCCGACAGCATCTCGGGCGACATGAACAGCGGCGTACCGATCATCGTTGCCGCCTTGCTCCGCGACCCCGTCTGTGTGCGTGCGGTGCGTGCGGTGCGCGTGTGTCGTGTGTGCGGTGTGTCGTGAGAGAGTGGTCGGTGGGTTCAGCTCGAAAGCTGCACGATTTTGGTGGTACGTACCTGCTGGAAGGAGATGCCAAAGTCGGCGAGTTTGACCACCCCGTCCTCGCCCATCAATATGTTGCCGCACTTCAAATCTCGGTGAATCTTCACATACGTATGCACATATACCCGGTAAGAATGTGAAGAATGCATATGTGTGTGTGCATGTGCGTGTGCGGTATTCTTTCTGCGTACCACTTTGATTTGGTCGTTGTGGAGGTAGGCGAGGCCCGTGATGGCCTGGTACAGGATGTGCGCCAGCTGCTTCTCGGTGAGCTGCTTCTCCACCGCCTTGAACGTGTCGATGATGCTCCCCAACGACCCATGCACGCAGTACTCCATCATAATCTACGCGCGACCGCACACGCACACCACCGCACGCATACCACCGCACACACGACCGCACACGCACGCGTGTGTTAGAGTGTTGTGTGCGGCGAGGAATGAAGAGAGAGAGAGAGAACCCAGAGTTCGGAGGCGGTGGTGGCGGAGCCGTAGTAGGAGACGATGTTGGGATGGCGACACCGGCGCAGGACGTTGATCTCGCGGCTCACGTCCTCCACATTCTTCCCGGCTGTGAGCATCGGAATGATCTTCAGCGCCATCAACTGTGGCGACCGCACACACGACACACGCGACGCACGACACACGACACACGGCACGACACGACACACACGACACACACGACACACACGCGCGCGCGTGTGTGAGGAAATAAGAAA